GCTATGCTTTTATAATGGTCTTGGAGGCTAGGGTTTCAGAGGAATAATTCCGTAGATGGAAGGGAATTATTCCTCCCCTTTATGGAATTGATTTGATTAATTAGGGATTTGATTTATTAGGGTAAATCAAATCCCTAATTGTGGTAGGTATCAAATCAAATCCTATTTCAATTAGGTAACTCCTCATTTAATTGAGAATCGGGGTAGGAATTAGGAATCAATTCTCAACCCAATTAGGTAGTCTTCAATTTAATTGGGTAACCCCCAATTAAATTGAGTAACTCCCAATTAGGTTGATTAATTCCCAATTAGGTCAAATAATCCCCAAATGGAATGAATTATTTGACCTAGGGTTTTGACTTAATTTGGTTACCACAAGAATGTTGGAAATCTTTTTTTTAACCTGGTAACTGGTGTTTCAATTATTAGGTATATGATTTATCTTGATTTAGTGATACTTCTTTGTCAACATTGAACAAAGTCGAATATTCAAATTTTCCTTCCCCTTCTACTCATTTAAAATTAAAAAAACAAAGGATCCACTAATATAGTAGTTTAGAGTAATTGCTTCCTTAGGAAAAGTTCTGGTTCGAGTTTTGGCATTCGTGCAGTGTCAGTATGTTATGGTCCCTCTCAATAGAAACTTGGAAGAGACCTTTTTCTGTTTTTACAAGTATTTTTATTCATGGACCGATGCATTTGGGATTAAAGGTAATCCTTATTCAATTATTCGACCATAACTTGGCTGATTCACGTTATTCAATCTTAATATTTTTATGGTAGTTGAAATGTCTCTGTTAACCCTAAACCCCTATTTCTTCTATTCGAATATATTAAGATGAGGCTTGAACTCAATCGTGTTAAGATATTGTGTTTCATTTTAATTAGTGATCTAGTTGTCTTAACAATTTCTTATGAGAGGGTGACATGTTAAAGCTAGCAGCACTGATAGTGAAGGAAAGAAGTTTAAGCTTATATTAACTTGTTCAATTTTTCCACATCTGATTAGGGGTTATTTGGTCATATTAAACAATAACTAGGGACTTGTGCTTAATTATTAGTGATCCTGTGGTGTACACAAAACTGATGTACTATTAAGAGCATCTACAATGGGCTCTCTAAACCACCTCCTTAGACAAATTTTAGAGAGGATTTGGAAAAATACAACTCTAACCATGCTCCCTATCCACCTCCTAAAATAGGAAGACCTCTAGGAGCTCCTAAATCTGAGGAGAGAGAAAAGACTCCTAGTGGCTCCCTATAATTTAATGATGCTTTATTTAATAAGTATGTCAAACCTTTAATTAATGTTTATTATTTTTTAGATGATTTTTTAATAGAGATGGACCAATTAAAAAAGAGTTATAGCATTTATGACTCCCTAAACTAGAGAGTTATGTTGCACGGACACTTCAAAATGCTGGAGTGTCGGAGTGTTGGAGTGTCGGACACGCCGACACTCGGACACGGCTCGGACACGCCCCCGACACGCCTCCGACATGGTCAAGACACGACAAGGACCATATTGAAATTTTAAAAATAAAATAGGGGTCTAAACATGATTTTTGAAACGTTAGTGGACTGATTTGAATTTTTTTTAAAAGATGGGTTGAAAGTGGAAAAAGACTTTTTTAAACCTAAATGAAGCTCACGAAAGTAGCAGACACTTCACTTCATTTTTACGTTGCAGCAGCTCCTCCACTTCTCCAGTTTTTGCAAAGGTGAGTGTTTATTTTTTTTCCTTTGTTTTCAAATGCTTTTATTTATGTTCTCTATTTTCTTTTTTTATTTCCTTCCATAACAATAGAAGAGTTGGACTTGGTGGTGAGGTGAAGTTTCTTTTCTTATGTTTTTTTTTAAGAGAAACACAACAAATAATAAAAGTCTTATGTTTTGATGTGTTTTTTTTTTTTTTGTGTGTTGGTATTTTATATGAGTTATTTGTTTTGTTTTATGGAATTATGTAATATTGAAGTATTGACAATTAATTATTATTTTAATTGCCGTGTCCTAGCCGTGTCGCGTTCCCGTGTCCGTGCAACATAGCTAGAGAGCATGATTGAAGAGCATGATTGAAGTTTAAATTTTATAGAGAGCTCCTAAAATAATTTTTTTTTTAATGTTTTTAGCTCAAATTTAACTAAAAAATAGAGAGCATGATTGTGGATGCTCTAAATACTTTTGGGTTAATGACTTTGATGATCTTGTTGAATATATATGGCCCCCTAGACTCGTTTGTGTGATAAATCAATTAAAACCCATAAATCTCTCTAGCTTCTAGAATGGTTAACTTATGAGGGATAAGTCATCTAATTGTGATTTTACTTGCATGGCCATGTATAAACTTTGACCAAAAGAAAAAATATATGAATAGACTTGACTTATATATTGAGAGTATTTTACATTCAAAGATGAAAGATTTTCTTTTGAAGTTAAAAGATATTGGGTCTCTTCACCTACTATTAAGAAATTGATGCTCACTGCTAATCTCATATCCATAATGAAACTAGAACAAAATTTGCATTATTTAACCCAATAATATGGAAACAGAGCTCTCATACAAGACTGCATTCAACAAAATCACAATAAAAAATTACATACAAACCTGTATTTTCAACAAGATGAGGCAGATCTATTTTAAATTCCTTCACGGGTTCTTTCTCTTATGCATGAGCTTGAGCACCTTTGGAGATGAATCTGATCACCTGGCTCTGCTAGACTTGAAGAAAAGAATAACTGAAGTATATCATGAGCACATGGAATAGTTCCATCAATTTCTGCAGCTGGGTTGGCGTTACATGCAACCATTCCAACAAAAGAGTCGTGACTTTGAACCTGGAAGCTCAAAAGTTGGCAGGCTCCCTACCACCTTCTATAGGAAATCTTACTTATCTCACTGGAATTAACTTGATAGATAACAACTTTCATTGTGATTTAAAGCCAAGCAATGTTCTTCTTGATGAAGATATGGTAGCCCATGTTGGTGACTTTGGTCTAGCAAGGTTCCTTTTGGAAGCATCAAATAATCCCACCAAAACTCAAACCATATCAGTTGGGCTAAAGGGTTCCATAGTCTACATTCCTCCAGGTATATGAAGTTTTATAATCCTCTTTTTTTTTTTTTTTCTGTTCCTATTAACTTATTATTAAAGAAAATTGAGGGTGACATCCTAATGTATGTGTCGAATGACAGAGTATGGAATGGGAGGCCAAGTTTCCATACTTGGGGATGTTTATAGCTATGGGATACTGTTGCTAGAAATGTTCACAGGAAAAAGACCAACGGATGAACATGTTCAAAGATGGTCTAAGCATTCACCAATTCACAGCCATGGCTTTCCCTGACCATGTCATGGACATAATTGACCCTTCATTGCTCTTTGAAACAGATGACGAGAATGATGAAGATGACGATGATGACAACAAATACATAAATCACATAGAAGAAAGACCAGTAGCAGGATATAAAGATCCTGGCCCAGTCAAAGCAAAAGGACTGGAGGAATGTTTGGATTCATTGATGCAAATAGGGCTCTCATGCTCTGCAACATCACCAAGAGACCGGATGCCTATGGATGTCGTTGTCAACAAAATGAATGCAATTAGAGACTCATATCTCAATTTAAGAAGAAGAAGAAGAAGATCGAGAAGTACAAGATAGACTAAGTTTGTTAAATAATCTCAATTCCCTCATCTACATGCAAGAAATCTTTCGATAAGGATATTATATGTATCAATCTGTGTGAGATCATGTGAGGTTGAATTCAGCATTTTATATGGAAAAATTAAGGGAAGAAGGTTTTATTCCTTTTAGGCCTTTCTGTTCTTCAGATCATTTTTGCTTGTATGGGAAAAAATGGGCGTTTCACATCGTAGTTACCATCTCAAGTTTTTCTGGCCCAGCAGTTTTGATATCTGATAGATTTCTCTCTCTCTCTCTCTCTCTCTGAAAAAAAAAACAAAAACTAACCCATAAATGAACTTGGTTTTTGATTTGCTCATTATTTGAGAGAGATAATGTTGATAATACATTCAGCAATGACATACAAGAAAACGGATGCGTATGATGTGGTTGTCAACAAAATGGAATTCCACTGATTTATAGGGAGCCATTAGGAATTATTTCTCTCTCCTCCGATGTAGGAGCTCCTTGAAGTCTTCTTATTTTAGAAGGTGGATAGGGAGCATGGTTGAAGTTGTATTTTTTCAATTCCTCCCTAAAATTTATCTAAGGAAGTGATTTAAGAAGTCCATTACAGATACTCTAATATATTGCATGCTATTCATTATCATATAAAATTCAAATTCAATTGCAGGTTACCTTAATTGTATTCATTAAATTCTGAATATGCATAATGATATTGGTGTTGTGAGCAATTGACTTTTGTTTTGTATTGTTTCTCTATTACAATTTAGGGCTCGTTTGGGAGTGATTCTGGATAAACCAATCACTTATGGGGAGAAGCACCTTTCATGTGCTCTCCATATAATCACTTTTAGTGATTATAAGTGATTATGGGGAGAAGCACCTCCAATTTGTTTCTTTATAAAATCATTTAAAGTGATTAGATGGAGAAGTAACTTCGCCATAAAAGTGATTATTAACCTATCTAGAATCACTCCCAAACAAGCTCTTATACGTTAGGTTTACGATTAGCAATGCCCAATGCCAATGAAGAGGACCTTTGTGTGAGAATACGATTAGTAACACTACAAGACACGCCATTTCTGGCGACAAATTTTTTTCGTCGTCAAACGCTGTTTTTCGTCGGCACAGTATTCTGGCAATGGAAGATTTCATCGGGAACTTTTGTTGCCATACACTCGTCACCAAATCTCAACATGGCGAAGTTTACATTTCGTCACCACATTCACAAACTTTATCCCGATGGCAACTATGAATGTTACCTCCTGCCTTGTCATGGTCAGAATCTTAGTTGTGAGAATGTGAAGGTAAAAAGTCCCACATTGGAAAGTTAGAAAACTTAGTAAGGGTTTACAAGAAGTTGGGTGAATCACCTCATTTCCAATTGATTTTGGGGTGGAATCTCAACTTTCTTCATTAATCAGATACAAACAAATGCATGTTTAGTGTAGAAATAAATTATTATGAGAGCTGTCGCATATTTCCGATTGGGACCAAAGTCTTCAGTCTTGTGTGAGAATACGATTAGTAACACCCAACGCCAACAAAAGGACCTTTGTGTGAGAATAAGATTAGTAACGCCAAACGCCAACGAAAAGGATCTAAGCTAATCGTATATTTTCTAAAAAATCAAGACGCTAGGGTAGGAGAAGAAAAAAGAGCGAATATAATTTTGAATATAGTATTAACCCTTTTTTTGTAATATTAACCCTATTTTATTTGTTAATTATGGAAAGTCGTATTTACCCTAAAATTTGGTTAAATTTAACAGAAAATTAGACGGTATGACCAATGGATCGATTAATATATAGTTAATGGATCATTTGAACGAATAATGTAATTGATAGACCAAAATGTAAATCGAATACAAGTTTGAGGATCATTTGAGTAATTTACCCTTAAAATTGGAGAACCCACCTTTCTCCACTAGGGTGCAAAATTATTTATTCCGAGCAAACAGAGCTCTGGTTGTTTTGCTACTTACAGACATTAACCTTTTCTTCAACAACAATCAAAACTATCGAATCCGTTTTGAAATGTGTGATGAGAATGTTGGAAATCTTTTTTTAAACCTGGTAACTGGTGTTTCAATTATTAGGTATATGATTTATCTTGATTTAGTGATACTTCTTTGTCAACATTGAACGAAGTCGAATATTCAAATTTTCCTTCCCATCTATTCATTTAAAATTGAAAAAAAAACAAAGGATCCACTAATGTAGTATTTTAGAGTAATTGTTTCCTTAAGAAATGTTCTGGTTCGAGTCCTAGCATCTGTGCGGTCACTGGCGGATCCACAGAGGCACAAGGAGGTGCAGTTGCACCTCTCCTAACTGGAAACTTCCTTGGGGATGCCAAAATTTGCCCCTTTGCTAGTGCCCACCAATTGTTCGACTAAATGCCTCAAAGACGTTGTATTGTTTGCTGCATTGTGAGACCTTGAATATTTACCTTATATTGTTGGGCTCGATCTCACAAGTATGTAGGATAAAACGGTTCATCAATCGGAGCTCCACAACCAAAGTTATGAATTTTCGAAGTTTTTCTAGAATATTTGAAGTTAAAAGTTGCAAAGGCACGGTTCAATAAAGAAGAAGACTCTGCGTCAGCGCTTCTAACTCTGATTCTTTTTTAAAATGGTCCAATAGCAAGCCGACACATGTCTATTTCTAATTGGCCTAAATTAAAAAATTCATTAAAAACTCATATGTGTGCCAAAAAATTCATCCAAAATTATCCCAAACTTTTAATCATGTGTACTTTTATTTCATGACCTCCAATTTACATATGCTTTTGGTTAGATTAATTGGTATTGACTTTTGTTAGATTAATTATGTAATTGACATGGATTTTGTTCATATTTGATATGAATTTTGGTAAACAAATTGTGTCAATGACAAGGATTTTGTTCATATTATTAATTGATATCCATATAGACTATAATCAATTAGTTGTAAATGTAAAACTCTTATTTGTTTTAATTATGAGTACATTGGTATTGGTTAAATTAAGGGCATTTGGTTGTATAATTTTTTTTTTTGAATTTTTAGCCTTTTTTTTTTAACACAGTACACGGACGTTAGGATTTAAACTCAGGGTCTTGCTTGAGTCCTTTGTAAATTTTTAGCCTTTTAAATATTGCATATCCCCTGAAAAATTCATGGATCCACCTGTGTGTGCAGTGTCAGTATTTTATGGTCCCTCTCAATAGAAACTTGCAAGAGACCTTTTTCTGTTTTTACAAGTATTTTTATTCATGGACCGATGCATTTGGGATTAAAGGTAATCCTTATTCAATTATTCGACCATAACTTGCTGATTCACGTTATTCAATCTTAATATTTTTATGGTAGTTGAAATGTCTCTGTTAACCCTAAACCCCTATTTCTTCTATTCGAATGTATTAAGATGAGGCTTGAACTCAATCGTGTTAAGATATTGTGTTTCATTTTAATTAGTGATCTAGTTGTCTTAACAATTTCTTATGAGAGGGTGACATGTTAAAGCTAGCACTGACAGTGAAGGAAAGAAGTTTAAGCTTATATTAACTTGTTCAATTTTTCCACATCTGATTAGGGGTTATTTGGTCATATTAAACAATAATTAGGGACTTGTGTTTAATTATTAGTGATCCTGTGTTGCACGCAAAACTGATGTACTATTAATGACTTTTGGGTTAATGACTTGAAGATCTTGTTGAATATATGGCCCCCTAGACTCGTTTGTGTGATAAATCAATTAAAACCCATAAATCTCTCTAGCTTCTAGAATGGTTAACTTATGAGGGAGTCATCTAATTGTGATTTTACTTGCACGGCCATGTATAAACTTTGACCAAAAGAAAAAATATATATATGAATAGACTTGACTTATATTTTGAGAGCATTTTACATTCAAAGATGAAAGATTTTCTTTTGTAGTTAAAAGATTTTGGGTCTCTCCACCTACTTTAAGAAATTGATGCTCACTGCTAATTGTTGGCGTGAGTCAACATTCCTATTATGAACAGAATTTATATTTTATTGTAATTATCTAATTTGAGTGGAATCAAATGATTTTGTGCATATTTCCTATTTGTATCCACTTTGTATATAGTATATATATTTCTCCTTGAGAGAAGAATAAAGATATCAGTTTAAACTCTAATTATTTTGAGTCTAATACTAAGAATTCATAGCCAACTTCTATCGGGGTCTAGCTTAGTGAAAAAAAGAGCATTAATTTGTAGACTGGTAGTTTCATACTAGAACCTCATAGAGTCATAGCACCTTAATAGTGTGTTTGTTAGAAAACCCCTTTTTCACTTGTAGTTTAGACTTTTTTTTATAAAAAAAATTCATAGGCTACATCACTTCTTCGTGTCACAAAGCAACCTTGGAATATTTATGGCCCGTTTGGTAATGTTTTTAGAGAGCATTTTTAGAGAATGTTTTCATAGAATGAAAATGAGAAAATGAAAACGCATTTTCAGAGGAAAAAAAAAACACGTTTGGTAGCTTGGTTGAAAACTATTTTCAAATAACAAAAACAGTGAAAACACGTCTGACAGTAATATGTGAAAATGACAAAAACAATAAATATGTAATTTTAATTAAAATGCATTATGTTTTTTTTAATACAACATTATGTAATCAATATGTGACTTTAAAAAAAAATAGTATGTATATCTATATCTATATATATAAAGCAAAAGACAGAGAATTGTGAAACATTCAAAATACAAAAAAATGCCATTGGTTAATATAAACATTAAGAATTGAAATTATTAATTAAATAAGGATAATATGGTAAATTCACACTTTTTCATATTAAAAAAATTAAAATAAAAATAAAAATAAGATAATGGATCCTATTTTTATAGAATACAACTACCCATTATATTTTTTAATTCTAAAATACATTTTAATTTTTTTAATTTAAAATTAAAAACAAAATCAGATAATAGGTCCTCCCTTTATGAAACATAACTACTCATGTTATCTTTTCTTAATTCTAAAAATAAAATAAAAAATAAAACCAATTGGCACATGCGTGAGCATGTTGCAAGGGGCTAGTATATATAAAGCAAAATGCAGAGAATGATAAAACATTCAAAATACCAGAAAATGCCCTTGGTTAATTCAAATATTAAGAATTGAATTATTAATTAAATGAGGATAATATAGTAAATTCACATTTTTTTTTCATATAAAAAATAAAATTAAAAACAAAATCATATAATAGATCCTACTTTTATGGAACATAACTACCCATATTATCTTTTCTTAATTCTAAAAATAAAAAATAAAATAAAAAAGAAAACCAATTGGCACATGCAAGAGCATGTGACAAGGGGCTAGTATAGTATAAACCTAAAAGACTGATCATCCCTATGAGTAAAACAAAAATCAATGAACCCTAAACTTTAACGAAGTATAAAACTAGAATTATCTTTTAAAAAAAAATTAAAATGAAACATCAACCCAACCTTCTCTTTCACTCTTTGCAAACCCACCCCAATTCTATCTCCCCCCCTTTCCTCCGTGTTTTCTGTTTTTGTCAACCGAACAGGTTTTTTGTTTGTTTTTGTTCTCTCAAAATGAAAATGGGCTCACAAAACATAAACGAACGGGGAACCAGGCAGGTTTCCTCTTTGCGTGTTGTTCTTAGGCCTTCTACTGCACCAACGAAAACAATGGACACTACACAGATAATGTATTATAAATTTTAGGTTTATAGTGGGTAGACCATTTATTACAAAATCCAAAAGACAAAAGGAAAAAAAGTGCGACTATTTTTTAAATTTTATATTCTTCACATATGTGTATGATCTTAAAATATTTCCCTTCACTTTCTATTTAATTCTCAATAATCTTATGCAGACTCAAATAAATCGAACAGTCGATGTGAGATTTTATCTTCTTCATATATGTGTATGATCTTAAAATGTTTCCCCTAACTTTTTCTTTAATTCTCAATAATCTTATGCAGACTCATATATGTGCAACCCTAATTTTTCTGATATCGGATGATATTATTTGGTCCTTTTGTATTTACTGGTGCAGAAATTTACCATCCCTGCTTTAGCAAAATGGTTGTCTCCCCTGGAGCTATATATGATAATATAATACTCTTAATTAATCATTTTAACTCTATACGCATGTAGTATTTAGAACATGTCACCATCTCAACTATCCAGAAGTCTTTAGATGACTCATACTGTAACAAGTCTTAATTCTCCATTAATGAAATTTTAAATATAGAGACCTGCTTTCCCAACTAAAAAATCTCATCTACATAATGAAACTATAACAAAATCTGCATTATTTAACCCAATAAAATGGAAATAGATTCTCATGCAAGACTGCATTCAACAAAATCATCACAATAAAAAATTACATACAAACCTGTATTTTCAACAAGATGAGGCAAATCTATTTTAAATTCCTTCACGGGTTCTTTCTCTTATGCATGAGCTCGAGCACCTTTGGAGATGAATCTGATCACCTGGCTCTGCTAGACTTGAAGAAAAGAATAACTGAAGTATATCATGAGCACATGGAATAGTTCCATCAATTTCTGCAGCTGGGTTGGCGTTACATGCAACCATTCCAACAAAAGAGTCGTGACTTTGAACCTGGAAGCTCAAAAGTTGGCAGGCTCCCTACCACCTTCTATAGGAAATCTTACTTATCTCACTGGAATTAACTTGATAGACAACAACTTCCATGGTGAAATTCCTCAAGAAATGGGACGTCTACTGCGCCTGCAATATCTCAACCTGACTTCCAATTCCTTTGGTGGGAAAATTCCAAGTAACATATCTCACTGTACACAGCTGAGAGTGCTTGATGTTGGTTCCAATAAGCTTATTGGGTCCCTTCCGGATCAACTCAGTTCATTGTTAAATTTAACTCATCTATGGGTTGATGAAAACAATCTCACTGGAACTTTCCCAGATTGGATAGGAAACTTTTCTTCTCTGTATGCTATTTCTCTTGCCCACAACAATTTTCAAGGAAACATACCGAATGAGCTCGGGCGCTTAACAAGCTTGGGAAGATTTGTAATTCCAGGGAATAAATTTTCTGGTATGGTTCCTTCTTCAATCTATAATATATCCTCCATATACTATATCACTGTTACTGACAACCAGCTGCATGGAGAGCTGCCAAAAGATGTGGGGATCACTCTTCCTTATCTCCAGATATTTGCTGGTGGTGTCAACAAATTCACAGGTAAGATTCCTGTATCCTTGTCAAATGCTTCTAGACTTCGAAAGCTTGATTTTGCTGAAAATGGTCTCACTGGGAAACTCCCAGCTGAAAATTTTGGAAGCTTGCAAAGCTTATCTAGACTGAACTTTGATGACAATAGACTGGGAAGTGGAAAAACTGGTGACCTGAATTCTCTCAGTTTCCTTGCTAATTGTACTAATCTTGAGGTGTTGAGTTTTAGCCGAAATCGTTTTGGAGGAGAATTGCCAGAGTCCATATCCAACCTCTCAACAAAACTTAGAATTTTTACAATGGGGGGTAATTTGATACATGGAAGCATCCCTATCGGCATTGCAAATCTTGTAAACTTGATCAATCTAGGAATGGAACAAAACTACTTTGGTGGCAGTCTCCCTGATGTAATTGGCAAGCTTCAGAAGTTACAGGGATTGTATCTGTATCTTAACAAGTTTTCTGGGCCAATCCCATCCTCCCTAGGTAACTTGACTTCAGTAACAACGCTCTTAATGGAGGGTAATAGGTTTGAGGGAAGTATACCTCCAAGCCTGGGAAACTGCCAAAGCTTATTGATACTTAACCTTTCTAGTAACCAACTAAGTGGCACCATACCTAAAGAGGTTGTTGGGCTTTCATCCCTTTCAATTTGTTTGTCCATGTCTAACAATTCTTTGACTGGTCCACTACCATCAGAAGTGGGTGAGTTGGTAAATCTCTCGGAGCTAGATGTATCAGGAAACAACTTATCAGGTGAAATCCCCATAACCCTTGGCAGCTGCACTAGTTTGGTGAGCCTGCATTTGGAAGGTAATGAATTTGAAGGAAACATTCCTGAAACTCTGACAAAATTAAGAGGCGTGGAAGAAATAGATATTTCACGCAATCACTTATCTGGGAAAATTCCTGAATTTCTAGGTAAGTTTAGAGCTCTTAAGCAACTCAATCTTTCTTATAATGATTTTGAGAGTGCATTGCCTGAAGAAGGAATATTTTCAAATGCCAGTGGTGTCTCAGTTCATGGAAATAATAAACTGTGTGGTGGCATCCCACAATTACTTCTACCTGTATGCTCTAACAAAAAGCCTCATTCATCTCAAGGATTACTTTCCCCAAAAGTAGTAATTCCTGTAACTTGTGCAATTGCATTCATTGCCCTATCATGCTTTATTGCTGCTTGTAGAATGGTGAAAAGGTCAAGAGGTCCACTTTTAACTTCACATTCCTATGGGGATTGGAAATTAGCCGTCTCTTACTTAGACCTCGCTCAATCAACCAACGGGTTCTCTCTTGACAATCTCATTGGTTCAGGAAGTTTCGGTTCTGTGTACAGAGGAGTACTCTCTAGTAATGGCATGGTAGTTGCTGTTAAGGTATTAAACCTTAACCAAGAAGGAGCTTCCAAGAGTTTCATTGATGAATGCAAAGCTTTAAGAAGTATAAGGCACCGCAATCTTCTCAAGATCATAACCGCATGCTCAAGCATTGACAACCAAGGTAATGAGTTCAAAAGTCTAGTTTCCGAGTTCATGGAAAATGGAAGTCTAGACCAGTGGCTGCATCCAAGAGATGATGAACAATCTCAAAGTAAGAGATTGAGCCTAATCCAAAGACTAAATGTTGCCATAGATGTTGCTTCTGCATTAGATTATCTACACCACAATTGTGAAACATGCATTGTTCATTGTGACTTAAAGCCAAGCAACGTTCTTCTTGATGAAGATATGGTAGCCCATGTTGGTGACTTTGGTCTAGCAAGGCTCCTTTTGGAAGCATCAAATAATCCCACGAAATCTCAAACCATGTCAGTTGGGCTAAAGGGTTCCATAGGCTACATTCCTCCAGGTATATGAAGTTTTATAATCCTCATTTTTTTTTCTATTCCTATTAACATATTATTAAAGAAAATTGAATGTGACATCCTAATGTATGTGTCAATTGACAGGAGTATGGAATGGGAGGCCAAGTTTCCATACTTGGGGATGTTTATAGCTATGGGATACTGTTGCTAGAAATGTTCACAGGAAAAAGACCAACGGATGACATGTTCAAAGATGGTCTAAGCATTCACCAATTCACAGCCATGGCTTTCCCTGACCATGTCATGGACATAGTTGAGCCTTCATTGCTCTCTGAAACAGATGACGAGAATGATGAAGATGACGATGATGACAACAAATATGGAAATCGCATAGAAGAAAGACAAGTAGCAGGATATAAAGATCCTGGCCCAGTCAAAGCAAAAAGATTGGTGGAATGCTTGGATTCGTTGATGCAAATAGGGCTCTCATGCTCTGCAACGTCACCAAGAGACCGGATGTCTATGGATGTCGTCGTCAACAAAATGAATGCAATTAGAGACTCATATCTCAATTTAAGAAGAAGAAGAAGAAGATCGAAAAGTACAAGATAGGCTAAGTTTGTTAACTAATCTCAATACCCTCATCTACATGCCAGAAATCTTTTGATAAAGGATATTATATGTATCAATCTGTGTGAGATCATGTGAGGTTGAATTCAGCATTTTATATGGAAACAAAAATAAGGGAAGAAGGTTTTATTTCTTCTATTCAAATATATTAAGACAAGGCTTGAACTCAATCGTGTTAAGATATTGTTTTATTTTTAATTAGTGATCTAGTTGTCTTAACAATTTCTTATGAGTAGAAGGCCCAAAAACAACACACACAAAAGAAAAGAAAAAGAAAAGAGGAAACCCGCCTGGTTCGGAAATATTCCAAGGTTGCTTTGTGACATGAAGAAGTGATGTAGCTTATGAATTATTTATTTATTTTTAATACAAGTGATAGTCTAAACTAGGGGTGTCATTTTAAACTGAAAAATCGAAAAATCGCAAAAATCAACCGACAATTTATCGCAATGAAACCGCAATTGCGGTAAACCGAACCGCATTTGCGGTTGCAGTTGCGGTATTTGATTTTCAAAACTTGCTGTTACCACAAACCGCAAAGTATAGCCACATGAATGATGAAGTTGAATTTTACAAAGAAAATGGAACATATGACAACTTGTAAGTAATTAGTTTATTTATGCTAATGTTATTTATGCTTCTTCTTATAATAAAATGTACTAAACTATGTTGTTTTATTTGTAGATAACATTGGTGCTCAAACAACACAACGGGGTTCTTCAAATCCACTCACCACCAACACTTGAGTTTGTAACTTTAGTTTGTAACATTGGTGCATTGCATTTTCCTATTAGTTTGTAACTTTAATTAACTTTGAATTGGATTTTGCTTTTTTGTTGTAACTTTAATTCATTTTACTTTGCATTTTCCTTTTGGTTTATAACTTTAAAGGATTTGGAATTGGAATGCTTGAGAAGTTTAACTTTAATTGGAATGCTTGGAATTGTAACTTTAATTTTCTTAGGTTGTGAATGCTTGAGAAGTTGAAGAGATTGTGAATTTATATATGTTTGAGAAATTGAGGTTGTGTATTTATTTATTTAGGTTGTGAATTTATATTTTTGTGAATGCTTGAGAACTCGCGGTTTTAAACTGCTAATTCGCGGTAACTGACCGCATTTTGCGGTTTACCGCAGTTTGCGGTTTCAAAAATCACCAAACCACAAATAGTCGGTCAGTTTGCGGTTTGAGTAAAAATTCGCGGTTACCGAACCGCAACCACCCCTAGTCTAAACTACAAAGGGGAGGAGGGTTTCTAACAAACTAATTATTAAGGTGACATGACTCCATGAGGTTTGATATGAGACCACCAATCTACAAATTAATGCCCTTTTATACTGGGCTAGACCCCGATAGATGTAGCCTATGAATTCTTATTATTAGAAGTGAGCATCAATTTCTTAATAGTAGGTGAAGAGACCCAAAATCTTTTAACTACTAAAGAAAATCTTTCATCTTTGAATATAAAATACTCTCAAAATATAAGTCAAGTCTATTCATATATTTTTCCTTTTGGTCAAAGTTTATATATGGCCATCCAAGTAAAATCACAATTAGATGACTTATCCCTCATAACCCCTCATAACCATTCTAGAAGCTATAGACAGATTTATCACACAAACGAGTCTAGGGGGCCATGTATTCAACAAGATCATCAAAGTCAATAACCCAAAAGTCTAAAAGTACATCCGTTTTGCGTACAAGACATGATCACTAATAATTAAACAGAAGTCCATAATTATTGTTTAATATGACCAAATAACCGAACCGAACTCCTAATCAGATGTGGAAAAATTGAACAAACCAGAAAGGGTCCTTAATATAAGCTTAAACTTCTTTTCTTCACTATCAGTGCCAGCTTTAACATGTCACCCTCTGCACCAGCGAAAACCATGGACACTACACAGATAATGGAGAAAAACTTTTCTGGCACAGGGATACCAAAGTCAGCATCCGCGTCAGTATCTCCTGACAGTTGTCAAACACTTCCACTTCTATTTTTTCTTTTTCCACGCCTGCTCCATCGTCCTTGTTCATCTCTGCAACTCAAAGTCCTCTTCTTCTATCTCGTCTCTCCCTCTATTTCTCTCTCTTCTAACCGAGTCTTCCTTTCATCACTACTGCTCTTCCCTGCAACTAAAATCCCCTTTCTTCTCTCTAACTCAAAAAAAAAAAAAAAAAAAAATTTCACGTCTGCTCCATCTGTGTTCCCTTTGCAACTTAAAACCCTTATTCTTCTCTCTCATATCTCACCTCCTATCTCTATTTTCCCACCAACTCTCCTTTTCTTTCTATCTCCCAACTCTCTTCATCAGTTATCACTCCCTCTCTGTTTTCCAATATGAAGCTTACCATATATAATAGAAGAGATTCAAAGAATAATTTAACCAATTATAAGAAACCCATTGCAATTCTAAGAATGAAGAAAAGGAGAATTTTTAACCCTCAGTGAGATGTGAGGTGTGGCTCCTACAAAGAAAACACTATTACACATGAAAATAAAAATAAAAATAAAAATACTTGAGGTGTGGCTCCAGTATTGACACGCGAAAAGAGAAAGAGAGAGCATCAGTGAGATGAGAGAGAAAGAAAAGGGGTTTGAGGTCCAGGAAAAGGGGGGGAGAGATGAAAGCGAGACTCGGTTAGAAGTGAGAGAGAGTTGATGAGAAGAGAGAGAAAGAGATGAGAGAGAAGAAGAGAGCTTTGAGTTGCAGAGGGAAACAAGGACGGACGATGGAGCAGGCGTGAGAAAAAAAAAAATAGAAGCATCGAAAGAGTTTGACAACTGTCAGGAGTCAATTGGCTTGGGATACTGACGTGGATGCTGACTTTGGTATCCCCGTGCAGGAAAGTTTTTCTCCAGATAATGGGTAGACCATTTATTACAAAAACCAAAAGACAAAAGAAAAAAAAGTGCGAGGATGGAAATTTTTATACAAATTTATAAATAAACCCAATCTTAGATATGTATTTATAAAAAAATCCAAACACTATTTAAATATAGAAACACACCCAAAATTAACCCCAAAGTCAACAATTGTATATTTTTTGGGTGTGTTTATAAAGTGTTTTGAGTGTTGGGTTTTTTTATAATTTCAGCTCCCATTTTGGGTGTTTTAGTGAAACTTCCAAATTTTTATAGTTTTTATATTTTTCACGTATGTGTATGATCCTAAAATGTTTCTCCTAATTTTTCCTTCAATTATCAATAATTTTATGCACTCCCAAATAAATTGAACTGTCGATGTAAAACTTTATATTCTTCACATATGTGTATGATCCTAAAATGTTTCACCCAATTTTTCCTTCAATAATCAATAATCTTATGCACATCGATTTTATGTTCTTCAACAATATTGAGCTGTATGGGGATTTGATATGATATTATTTGGTTCTTTTGTATTTACCGTACCATACTTTAGAATTAGACATGCCTTTTCTATGTACAGAAATTATAAAACTGTTAGCAGAATGGTTGCTATGGGAGCGATTTCCGTCCTACTAGAATATTCGCCCAAGATTCTTTCGTCTTCTCCACTTCTCTTTCTCCCTGCAAAACAAATTGGAGCAAAATGACCACACCTGGGGGGTGTTGGCCAATCTGATGTCTAAGTTAGGTTTGGTGTTTCAAGAAAAACCAAGTGGCCGGAGTCGTGTGTGGTGGCCAGAGCCTTGTGTGAGAAAGAGAAAAAATTTGGCGACTAGGGTTTGTGAGGGATAACTTATGCAAAGTTTAAGTAGGAATTTAGACGTACATTCATCCTTGTGCGTAGCCAAGTATTTATAAGGGGCTTCGAAGGCTAGGCTTTCAAAGTTTGTGAGGTTGGTGGGGTTGGTGTAATTGGTGAGGTTGGTGTGGTTGGTGAGGTTGTGTATTTAGGGATAAGGCGAGGATCAAATACATTGAATTAGGTAACCTCCCAATTAATTCAAGTAACTCCCAATTAAGTTAGGTAACTCCCAATTAGGTCAAATAATCCTCAAATTAATTGGCCTAATTATTTGACCTAGGGTGAGATATTTTGCTTCCACAGTTGCCTCTATGATCTGGAAATATCCTCAAGAAACTTTCGCTGCAAACTATGAGCAAAATGGTTGTCTCCCTTAGAACGTGTCACCATCTCAGTTATCCAGAAGTCTTTAGAAGACTCATACTACAACAAGTCTTAATCTTTAGAACATGCGTCACCATCTCTGTGGGAGCGATTTTCGTCCCACTAGAATATTCGCCTAAGATTCATTCGTCTTCTCCGCTTCTCTTTCTCCCTGCAAAACAGATCGGAGTAAAAGGACCACACCCGGGGGGTGTTGGCCAAAGGCCCTCCAATGCCTAAGTTAGGTTGGGTGTTTCAAGGAAAACCAGGTGGCCGGAGCCGTGTGTGGTGGCCAGAGCCTAGTGTGAGAGAGAGAAAGAATATGGTGGCTAGAGTTTCAGAAAAGAATTCAGACGTACCTCAATCCTTGTGCGTAGCCAAGTATTTATAGGGGGCCTCGACGAGGTTGGTGGGGTTGGTGTAGTTGGTGAGGTTGGTGTATTTAGGGATTAGGGATTTAACTAAATCCCTAATTAAGGCAATGATCAAATACATCCAATTTGAATTATGTAACCTCCCAATTAATTCAAGTAACTCCCAATTAGGTTAGGTAACCCCCAATTAGGTCAAATAATTTCCAAATTGATTGGCCTAATTATTTGACCTAGGGTGAGATATTTTGCTTCCACAAATGCCCCCCCAGCTTCTGCATGGCACATGGTGGCGTGGAGGTGGTGTGGATTAATTTTTGGGCTGTCCACTTACAACTTGACTTCTTTCTGTGACTTGGGCTCCTGAATGGAGGAGGCTTTTGACTTGCCAATTGGTCTTTGACTTGAGTAGTCTAGCTGTAACTGGGCTGGAGGCAAGGTGGCTTGTTGCTGGAGCGGGTGACAGATGAAGCTGCAATGGAGGAAGACAACGCCAAAAGTGGTGCAACTGATTAGT